TGGGATTTCCCCCCGGACGGGGATTTGAGTCCCAAAAAGCCGGACGTGTCCGGGAAAATCCGGACGTATGGTAACCCTAGATAAACCCTTTCCTACTTCTTCAGGTTCACTTTCAACATTGAATATAATCTTTACCTTTTGTTTCCCTCTCTGCTTCTATTTAAAAAGTGCTAAATTCTGTAGCATGTGTAACAGAAGACATGACCTAGGACCGGTGACTATCTATAAGAAATCCATCATTCATTAATATTTACTGAATAACCTTTTAAAGTCATGACAGCATATTTACACTGTAGATGCACATTTTGTTGCTTGTCATCTACAAAGTTAAACATCCAGGGTTTGAAAATTGTATCCAAAATGTTACTGAGAAAGTCATTTAAAAAATGTCTTACTTTCACTTAGTGATATCTGATAAAGAATGGTAAGAACATATTAGACAAATACCTGTCAGGAATGGTCTAGTTATTACTTAGTCTTACCTTGAGTGCAAGGGGCTGGACTTTATGACTTACTGAGGTCCCTTCCAGCCCTACACTTCTGTGATTCTGTGTGGTCCAATTTGGAAAGCATCCAATTATCTGCTTCAAAAATATTATTTTAATAGATATTAACAGACGACTGAGTCAGGCTACTGTTAGGAACCATATTCGAGATATTAAGATATGTCACATGCTTTCTTTTTGTCTGCTGGTGAAGGAAATCTTAACTGATGTCTACAAAAGTCTTGCTGCACATCTAAAGTATCATCCCATTATCTGATTGGCTAAACTATCCATACTTGGATTAAGAAATCGTAGCCTCCATCCCACTTCATTTATCTCTAAGTGAAATGGGTCTCTCTTGCTCCTGTAGCCAAGAACATTATTTTAATAAGATGAAAAGACACTGCCTGTCCAGCATATACATTGGCTGTCTGGAACAGTTAGCAATTCCTTACTGAAAAAACAATAGGAAAATATATGATAAAATCTAGGACTTTTATGACATGATGATTGAAGAAATGGTGTGAATTTTTTTCTCTTCCCCTTTTGATTGATAAACCTCCAACACAGCATGGCTGTCTGGTATGTTGATAAACTAACTCTACAAAACAATTAAACTACTGCAAGCTGGGGTCTGAATCTACCCTGAACTAGCCTGCCGTGGCCTAATGGTCCATGTGCACCCTGCTGATGCGCATCAACAGTTCATTTAAGTGCTTTGATCTAGTAGTCTTTGAAACAGGAGTGGACTATTAATGAACTGTCAGCGCACCTCAGGAGGGTGCACTGTGGACAGTTAGACCTCAGCAGGCTAGAACAGCATAGATTCACACCCCAGCTTGCTGTGGTCTAATGTGTAGACAAGCCCTAACTTCATTCTGCAGCACACACTAAGGTAAAACTATCATTCAAGTCAATGGGAAGTAAGTATTGCAGGACTGAGCCCTTAGTATGATTGGGTTTTTTATACCTTTTTTTATTTGATTTTTGGTTTGGTTTTTTTTTTTTTTCATTTGTTTGTATTTTGTAAAGTATTTACTAGAAGAGTATCTACAGTAGATATTGTGTATGGTCCTGATCCCACCCCACTGACGTCAATGGGAACTGAGCCAGATACATATCATTTTGCATTAAATCCACCACTTAAATGCAGTCACTCTCTTTGGGGTAGAACACAGCAGCTTTTCAACAGCACGCAGTAAGACTAAATAAATATTTAGGACCAGAAGTGGGGAAATTCCACCTTATACCAATTGAAACTACAGCCAGGATTTAGGAAGACAGAATGTAATTACCCAAAAAAGAATTTATCCGAGACAATGAACCCTCATCCTTAGACTTGCGAGAAGTGCTCTGAGATCTTTGAGTAGCACAATTGGTCACGCTCTTGGTTATAAGTCTCTTAGCAAAGACTCTCAACTGGTGTAAATCCACATAGCTCTTTCAACTTCAAAGGAGCTATGTCGACTTACATCAGCTGAGAATCTGGCCCACACTAACAACTAGAAAGTGCATTGTTGGTTCATTACTGCTCCCTACTGAATCACCGCACCACTGTTTGTAACTGCTGAGTTTTCTTTGATTCTTCACCAATGTTCCATTCAGCACTGATCCTGCTCAGCTTGTGAGATCTAATAAGATCACACTCGAGGGTGTCATGGTTGCAGCAGACCAACACATAAGCATTGTCAAGGTCCTTTTTGTTAGTTCTTTGCTCCCTGCAGGATAAAGGCTGCAGTCATAAATAATCTAGTTTTAGAAGCAAAGCCTGAATTCAAAATTAGATACAAACAAATGAAAAGTTGCTGAATAAATTCAAACTTGAACTAGGCTTTTCCAAGCTTAGATGTTTCTAATATTAGTCCTTTTGGCTGGGGTTACCAGTTGAAAATAATGTACATTATTGATTTATACATATTAGCAGCAGGAGGTAGCCCCCTTGTGGTCCAGAGAATACAAAACAAGCTCCAGTCAACAGCAGCTACACTGGAAAATATACTGTACTGAAATAGGTATGAGCAGAACTGTGTGTACAGGGGTTACAGAAGAGCCGTTGCCTTCAATTCAGAAGGGGATGACAACTCAGAATAAGTAGCCTCCAGCAGGCATCTTCTTATGGGTCTGTAAAGTAAACTGGGAAAATGACAAGAAGGATTGAGAGGGCTGTGTTGTAGAGGAGGAAGAACAGGTTGAAATACAAGCTATATTAAATGTTGTACATCACCACAAGACTCACCTGGTGGACTGCATATAGGGGACCAATATCTTAAAATGAGTGGAGTTGCACCAGTTTACACTAGTTCAGGATCTGGCTCCTGTGACTTACTTGGGTACAGGCTGCAAGTTATGTTGGAATAGACACAAATTTTAAATTAAATGTTTTAAGTCCATCTAAACATCATCTTTCCCCCCAGGGAGTTTCCACTGAATCCACTGAGCTCCCATAAAAAAAAGATACTTACTTTACCAACAAAAGGTGGGATTTCAAGTGAACTAATTGAGACCTACTCATTAAGGGGGGTGTCCTTTCCTCTTCTTATCAGGTGTGGAGAGCTCCACACACAATCCCACTGTGGTTCTTCTGCCTGTAACTGTACAGTAACTAGGGAGGGGCTGTATATGGAATGAACATTCCTGTGCAGCATACAGTACAGCTCTGTGGAGATTCCTTGTGTACTGTCCCCTAGGCAGGATTTGGGAGTAGGAGTAGAGGCAGTAGATTTGCTTCCATGCAGATTCACCAGCCATTGACTCCCCACACACTGGGGTACAGTGTGTGTGGAGGCTGCTGCAGGCAAAAGTCTGCTGTGGTGGTTGTAGATTGTCTCCACTGCTGCTCTGTGGCCTAGAGGGAAAGATTCCTTACTGCTGTCTTCACAGAGATCCTTACCACTAAGGCCATCTCTCTTTAAAGTCATCCAGCTGGTTCCTACCTGGAATAGCAATCTCAAGAAAATGCCTACACAGCTAAGGGTTATGTCCCCATAATAGCTTTTCTTATATAATTTCCCTTTAGTACCCAAATGGATTCATAATCAGACGAAGGGTCTTCAGACCAACTCATTACCACTATTATTGGCTGTCCATTAAGTCATATTGCCTGTCCTTGGCATAGAAACTACCTAATCAAAATATCTTGAGGGAAAAGCTTGCCCAGCCCTTTTGGGACCAACCAGTAGAACTTTTAAAATGTCTCAGATAAGATATTTGTGCCATACATAAACCCTAAGACCTGAGAACATGTAATAGCAACAAAAAGCATAAGCTGGAAATTAATTCATAACATGATTAATTTTGTCTTCTACTCAGATATCACTAGTGGAATAAAAAAATTGGTTTCTCATGTTTTCCTTCCTCTGTAATGATCAGCAAACATAGTCAGTATGACAGCTTACTACATTTTAAAAATGCAGGTCAGCTTTGCACAAGAATCTGCACAAGCTACAAGAATCAATATATAATGTATAACTCATAGATTTTGGGGTTGTATGGGAGGCACATATTTTCAGTCACAGTTCCCAGCCTCATAATGTACATTGCCTTAGCACTGTGTACCACTGTAACAATAGAAACTGGCACCATGCATTTTCAACTGTATACAAAGGCGCTTTAAAGAATGTTGTTCAATGGCTTCCGGTCTATTTATATTTTCTCTATTGTGCATATGTCAGGACCCCAGTGCCATGCCAAGGCCAACTTCCCAGGACCTAGCAGGATTCTGGGACTTATTGCAGCTTTCAATTGAAGACGTCAGCATGAAGTTTGATGAACTGCACCAGCTGAAACTCAATGAATGGAAACTAATAGAATCACCTGAAAGGAAGGTAAGCAGGCCAGAGACAATAAAATTTCCTTTCAGATTGTAGTGATAAGGCCTCCTGGTGTTACAGTCAGTTCCAGAAAGTGATTGGCTTCAAACCTGAAAATAGAAAGTGACTATTTTCCATTGCCTCATTAACAGATGACACTGTCCAGAATCAGGGCCTTGAGGTTTATTTTTACTTTCTTCTTTCATTTTTGGTTTAAATTGTAAGGTGTAAATAATATGGGTATAATTATCCCTACCAGCCCTGTGCCTAGCCACTGTCATTTGGCCCCTTGAATTCTGATAACAAATGACTAGGAGCAGATTGGAATTGAAAGATGCTCTGATTCATTCAGATTGCAAATGCAACTGAAATAAAGTCCCTCATGCTGTCACACTGTGAGCAGTTAATATCTGGGGACTGCATCCTCTACTTCCTTCCTAATGGAGAGCTCTGACTCCCCAAGATCTCTGGCTCTCTGGGGCTGTGTACCATCCCTCTGAGAACCTCGAGGACTGCAGATCGGCCTGTGAACCTTGTGTGGATAGAGGTTGCATCCTTGTGTAATTTCATGCTGTCTGCACTTGTGCTCTCAGGCTCCACATCCCTGCGGCCCCCTTGTTCATAGCAGTAGCAGCACAGATTGCAAATGAGCCACAGTGGCAATGTTGCTGTGTACCTGCTTTCTTCTTTACACAGTCCCCGCTCCTGGCTCCATCCCTGCTGATTACAATATTGTACAAACAGGGAGGGTGTCTTTAGCTTAGAGATAGAATAGCTGACCCCAACTGAATACTTGTTTGGTTTTGGAATGCGACAGGAGGTATCTTCTCAGAAGTTGATGTGCTCTTTCACTTCTTCAGGCATTTAGTATAACTGCTTGTGCCTCCTCTTGGGTTGCTTGGCCGGGTGGCTGGTGGGTAGGGAGTTTTGCTTTTGTTGATGGTGCGTGTGAAAGTAAAAGATGATTCTAGTGGCAGCATTGGTGATTGTCTAAGGAGGGAACTAAATCCTAGTAAAGAGAGAGAAGATGGGAGGAAGGACATGGGGATGTAATGCTCCTGACTGAAAATAGCAAATAAAAACAAAGTATTCTGGCAGAGCATGCTTTCAGGAAGAACAGTGCCTGTGCCCTCTCTCAGGACTCTGCTATAAGTCCTTTAATTTGGAAAATTGAAACAAGACTGCCAAATACTGTAAAATCTAACCAATGACAAGTGCATTTGACTATTAGGTTCAGCAGTTGCAGTAAGAAGACCTACACAATTCATGCCCCTCAAAAGATCTTTATGATGTAGGTCTTGCAGTGGATTAAATTAACAACCAACCAGTGTGTCCTATGTAAATAGTGACCCACTGTATCAATAATTATTGCAGCATTAACATTTACTAATGGCGGAAAGCTGCATCATGATAACAATGCTACTGATGCAGAAGGATACATATCATCCAAAGCTTTCAGTTCACAGTCCCACTCAGCGAATGAGTCGAAATGGGAGATCCAAATTTTGAAGTAAAATCTGCATTTCATTTTTCAAAACAATATCAGGCTTAATAGCTGCAGAATTGAGCTACAAGAAGCATTATACGAACATGTATTAAGAAACACTTTATATTCTAATAATTTCTCAATATGATTTTCTTAAGGTATTCTGGGCTGATGTATGGAACAATTAGCCCTACATTTCCATCTGTTTGTTTTGTTTTTGTATGTTACCTTTTTTGCAATTCAGAGAGGAGACTAAACTAATAGAGATGTATACACAGCTGCTATCTCATACCCAGCTGAGGCTAAACTCAGTACGATTAATTTAATTAAAAATCCTGTCCTGCTAATCTTAGACAGGCTTTTCACTCAACCAGAACACCCAGATACACTGAGTTCTTATCTGAGAGCCAGCCTGTGTTTCTGAACATAATGGATCTAATGATGTGCCAGGTAAAATAAAATTAACGCGAAGATGAAAGTGAGGTTTGCAGCATGTATGTGTAAAGTACCTGCAATGAGAGTAAATGGAGATAAACTCTTTAAACTGTGCTACTGCAATGCAATCCATTGGAATTTGCACTGGATTCTGCAATAGCTGTTTTTCCCCTTGTCCCCAGAACTGATGGTGATTAATATTAAACATTAATTAGCTCATCTCAGAGTATAAATTGAGCATGTTTATTCATTGTGTGACAAGTATTTTTTCAATTGACATTTCTCTGATGTGCATGTTTTATCGATGTGGTGCCTTTCACATTTAACTCACTTTTCAATTTTCAATAACTATTGTAGGAAGAAAGGAAGGTTCCTCCTCCAGTACCAAAGAAGCCCCCAAAAGGAAAATTCCCTATAACGAGAGAAAAGTCTCTCGACCTACCTGACAGACAACGTCAAGAAGCCAGAAGACGGCTTATGGCTGCTAAGAGAGCAGCCTCCTTTAGGCAGAATTCAGCCACAGAGCGGGCAGACAGCATTGAGATCTATATCCCAGAAGCCCAAACCCGGCTTTAAAGACAGAATGCTGCAGAGTGTCCTTTTTTAAAACAAATGCTGTACAGTTTGTCACTTACCTGGTAATTTTTGTCTCATTCTCTCCACTGAATATGCCCTTGCTGTTGTGTTCTTTGTGCCATAAGCACAGTGGAGTGCTTTTGATTTCCTCAGAGTTTGCTGAGCTCATTGCAAGAACTACTTCTTTTTGTATTTATTGTCTGACTTACAATCAGCTACAATGGATAGGGCTTGTTGAGACCTGACTTATCCAATATGTTCTCAGAGGACAACAAGAAACACCTCTTGAGATGGAACCCAGCTTACTTTTTTGTTATTTATATTTTTATAAATTGTGTGATAATTAGGGATAAGAATAACAAACTATAAATGGGTGCATCTCACCATTCACTAGAGGCATTAGCTTATCCAAGTAGAAGGTGCTACAAATGTGAAGTGCAGGAAAGAAAGAACCCATTTATCTCTCTGACCTCCAGTTTCTTTTCCTTGAACCCAGCTAAAAAATTTGCCCATGTGCTCTGCCATTCTACTCATCTTTGTTACTGCAAAATAACATTAGGCCTCTCATGTCAAGTCAAGTTTCTGGAGATGAACAGGAATATCCAGCCACGAAAACTCCAAAGTTCATCAGGAACCAAGAAGCATACAAGCCTGGTCCTATTGGGAATGCCCAGTGAGAAATGTTTGTGATAGCAGTATAACGACATTCAGAAATCAAAGCAAAATTATAATGCAAGAGAACTTGAGTGATGGGGAAAGGAAAATGGAAGCCTTAAAAAGTTAGATCTTCTGTAGCAAGATGTGTAAAGAGAACAGTTATACTTACTCCTTTGGAACACTCATTGCATTTTAACAGTTTTTATGTGTTAACTTTTTATTTTACCAACCTTCTCTCTTTAATTTCAAAAGCTATGCTACATGTGAAATTTTAAACTCTCAAAATGCTATATCATTTGAGTTTCCAGGGTATCCTTGAAAAAAAATATTTGCTTGTTTAAAATGCCAGTTGTGATGTTGTAACCAGTTTAAGAAATATGAATGTGAGTGGTAAGTATATCTAAGTTTAAATGGTTATCTTAAGGTAAAGGTGAACTGTGGTTTACATTTTTTTTTCCAGAAATCTTTTTCCTATGCAGTATCAGTTAAGGCAAGATTATTCTCTTTCTTGTGTCAGACTTAAAGAAATGATTTGAGAGTAAAGTGACTTCCACACATGGAATATAAGGAAAGTAATTTTTTCAAGCCTCTGATTACTACAAGAGAAAAATAGGAACCACTACAATCAAGAGGCTTTAAATGTTAATTTGAAATAAATTTACATAGTATTATTCCACTTCATTTACCTTCCCATAGATAATTGAGCATCCCAGCTCTTAGAAGTCTTCAAATAAAGATGTAATAAAAGATATGGCCCACAGATCCTGATACCAGGGTTCTGATTACTACTCTAGGTCAAAAGAGTATTACAACTATGGCACAGATAGTCCCAACTAACACATTTTTTTTTCTGCTTTAACAAATACTATGTACTTAGCCATAGGCAGAACAGCTACTTAATTATACTCCAGCACTTTGGTTTGTTCACCTTGATGAGCACTTTAAATATGTACTTGGCACACCCTGCAACCTGCCACATGACTGAGAACATTAAGTAACACAGGTTACACAGATCTGACATTGCTTCAAATCTGGGTTTAGTTTCTTGGGTTTTTTTTCCTTCTGAGCATTTTGTTAAGCATGAGTTCTGGTTTTGGAGCAAAGCTGATATAAGCATGATTAGCTTCAAGATATGAATCTTTAGAGTTGAATAGTTGAGAAGTTTCTGTAAGGAGAAAACTCTGTAAATTGAGCCTGATATCTGGTATATATTTTACCAAATAGCCTTAAACTATGTTTGGAAGCAAAAACCAAGATGAATGTATACCCTTCCAAAAACAACAACAACAAAAACCCCCTCCCTGAAATATTCTTATATAAATGAAAACTTATTATACCCTCACCCCCAGCGTGTTCAAAGCGTTTTCTGTATACGGAAAGAGCTGAATCCTGGGTAGTGTACAATATTGATGCTGCTTCCTATATTTGTTGTACTATTTGAAATACAAATGTATTTGCAGGTATTGGCATCTTTAGTCTTTAAAAGTGATATTTAATGTTAAGTGGAGCTGCGAATTAGAACTATCCACATGAAAATAAAGCCAGTGTATTTCCTAGATGTAGGAAATTTAAAATAGACCTATATATATATTTATGGCACCTGATATGTTTTATCTAATTTCCTTGGATACTTCCAGGCTAAATCACACTTGTTTTATTCACTTGAGTAATCCCATATAAGACAATGGGATCACGTGATTAAGGCAAACAGCATTTGACCTGTCAGTATACAGAATTTGTAAAGTCGAATTGTAAAAATTAAGACTAGCTGTTAAATTTAGATCCCAGATTATGTTATAATGTTGACTTGGAGCAGTCCATAATGGTTTTAATTACACATCAGATGTAATTGATAGATATTTTGGGGTATTTTATGTTAGTATGTCATCACTAAATTGGACTCTAAATGTCTGGCTAAAACAGACCTGTGTGAGCAAATCAGACCCTAAATTTTACAATGTCCATGCAATGATGGGAATATGCTCAATATGAGTCTTTGGATATGTATGATTCCCTGTTTGTTCCACCTCTGTTCCAAAGAAGAAGAATTAAAAGTAAAATAGATGCCTACTGCTAAATCTGATAAAATGTTATCTGTGCGTGTTACATTTTTAAGTGCAATATATTCAACTTGTTGTGCAGGTAACATTCTATCAATAAAGGCAGATCATAAGCCATGTTTACCTATGTATTGTACATCTAATTAGTTGGAAAAAATAAAATTATGTTTATAATACTTGTGTTGAAAGTCAGTCACCCCCAATCCGCTTGAATCGTTGCTATAAGATACACAGTATTCAGTAATTATCGCTTACAGAGAGGTCATGTCAAATCTGGAAATAGCATTCATTTCATACATAGGAATGGATTACAGGACCAATGTAGGAGAAAATTCAGTAACTTACAATGTTCTATTAAGATAATAGCTGAATATCTCTTTTTTAGAGACTTCATGCTCTACAGATACTTAGAACATCTTTAGGAGTCAAAATTCTCATAACAATAAAATATTTCATTAGCTAGGCCATTTGTATACTAGATCTTATCCATAAAGGATGAAAGATACAGAAAGCCACCATTTGTCATTCCATTGTCCGTAAAACACAAGTATAATAAATAGAATTCTCAAGAGTATTATATTTGACGTAGGAACAAGACCTGACCAGTTTAAGGTTCGATACTTGTTATACTTATTTTTTGCTTTGTATATTTTTTTAGATTTAAAGTTCATTGTAAATTGCTGAAATACGTTACAATGCATTTTATTATTTCTCGACAGCTTCGATCAGAATGGCCCTTGGCAATGTGTAAAAACTGAAAATGTTGTACAGTTTAATACCAAAAATTACATTTTAGTTCATGCTTAAACTTTGTCACTGTATGTTAAATTTGAGGTCAATTAGAAAAGAATTGAAGCATAAATAGGAAGGTGTGTGGATTTCATACATATAATGCACTTCATATAACACAAGTAATTTTTTTAAAATCATAACTCCTGCTAAATCAGTGCCCTAATTTTCACTACTTTAACACTGTTGATTCTACAAATTGGGGAAACTTCCACTCAGCTGGTGATGTTGAAAGGGATAGAATTTACTACTAAAAGACTAGGCCACAAATGTAGTTTAGGCCACAAATGTACCAGGAATCTCTCCAAATCCTTCTTTGACTTGTGCTTCTCAACAGCTTCTCTTTCTTCCTGGGCTTCTTTGTTCATTCCTCTCTCACAACACACATTAGCCAGTTCTACTGCTCATCACCAACTCTTCTGAACGTAAACTTTGTGTTAGATCCCTGTGCTGTTTTATTCCAGTACGTATTTAGTCTACTTGGTAGCTATATTAGCAAACTAAGGACCAGATTCATCTCAGTCATTTGCATGCAGCACATTCTGAGACAAATTCTGTTCCTGTTTACACCTGGACTACAGCATTAACGTCAGTGGAGGAGGCTAGAGCTTGGCCTGTCTGACTGCATTGTGTGTTGTGCATGTTAACCTGAAGGCTGAATTTATCCCATAGGAAATTAGGTACAGCTGCCTCCTTTAATATTGTATAAAAGCATAAAGTCCGCTGTGAGGGGGCTTTAGAAATGCTGATTGATAGTTGAGTTAAAATGCTCAGCAGTAGTCAGTTATTCCTCTGCACTGCTTTCAGAGCAAATCACTAGACAATGCTGTCACACGTAAATTAAAATTCAGGTGACAAATATCAGTAAATCCTTTAATATTCAGAGTGGTGCTTCCCCGGTGTACGGGAGGTCAACACTTACATTTATATAGTGCCTTTCATCCAGAAGGATTTCAAAGCACTTTACTAGGTGATTTGCAAAGGGTGGGCAAAATTCTGGCTCAGGCAGGGAAAGTGGTTTAACTGGTATAAGGCTAGATCATGTCCTCATTCCCTCCACACCAAAAGGGAGTTTTATAATCCCCTCAGAACCTTATGGAGGCCACTTTGCATAGTCCAGGGTCTAGGCTGGAGGAGAAAGAGGTAGAAATTGGATGGTCCAAGAGAAAGGAATGACCATAACAGGGGTGGGGGCAATGCACATGGTCATCTGTTAAAAAATTAGGCAGAAGAGAGAGTGCATCCTCAGGTTATGGCACCTTTTCAGAAATAGCCTTTGCCTCTCCTCCATACTTGATGGTCTTTAGAGCCACTGTGGCCAAAGGAAGGTCTATTAGGAGCTATTCTACCAGGGAACTGGATAATGATTCACAAAGGAGCCACAACCAGTGCTGAAGGCACAGAGTGTGTAGGTAGTACAGGTTTGCCAGGTTTTTCTATCTCGCCTCTCAGTCTTTTCCATTGAGGCAACCCACCCCTCTTCCCCATAGCATC